TTTCTGGTTGGCCATATTTCCCACAATCAACAAAGGCAAGGGCTAGGTTTTAAGAAACAAATGGGATGACAGAGAAACCATAGCTTGACGAAAATAACATCTACGCACATCCCTGAAATACTTCATAAGTTATACATGCAAAAGTACTGTAGTTCACTTGCATTTTCTTTATTTTTGAAAGCAGTTTTAAATACAAATTCTATTTCAGCCATTTGACTGAGATCTAGATGGGAAAAAATGCAGACTTTCCCCTTGTTTTAATGGACATGCATAATTTAGGCCCTGGATCTGAGTTTCTCCTCTCAATCTTCTACCATTGTTTTTTACTACTATTGCTTATGATTGTACAGTAATGCTAAAGTTTCAAGTTCTGTGTATTCTATTCACAGAAGATTGGTATCAAATATTTAATGGGTTACAAAGTCACAAAGTCACAAAGGAGAGAGGGTCAACCTTTTCTCCAAAGTAGCTGAAAGCAGGACAAGAAATAATGGATGGAAATTTATCAAGGAGAGATTCAATCTAGAACCAAGAAAAAATTCCTAACTCACAACAATTAATCAGTGGCACAGTTTGCCTCCAGAAGTTGTCATTGGAGGGTATTAAGAAGAGATTAGACTACTATTTATCTGGAATAGTATAAGGTCTCTTGCTTAAACAGGGAGTTGGACTATAAGACTTCCAAGGTCCCTTCCAATTCTGTTATTCTGTCGTGCTGGTCATGATCATATCTTAAAAAGTGCCTTCAAAGCTAACAGGTACAGTATTATGTAAGAGAATAGCACACCTTTAAAGTCCTGGACTATTTTTCAAATTGTCAGAAATGCAGCGAACCCATCATATTTTCTGGGTAAGTATTATTCAAATAGTAATAATATAGTAATATAGAATTTATTATTATTATTATACACAAAAAACAAGCACACAGCAAATGAGATAACTATGCTGGATTTTGTATCACAAATCACTAGTCAAACACTTCCCAAGCGTTTAGGACTGCATGATGTATCGGCGGATTATGTGAGCAGATCCCAGTAAAGTGGCCTTCTGCAGCTGACCAATGGTGATTTTGTCAGTGCCAATTGTTTTTAAGTGCTTGCCTAGGTCTTTAGGCACAGCACCCAGTGTGCTGAGTACCACTGGAACCAGCTGCATTGGTTTATGCCAGAATATCTGCAGTTCGATTCTCAAGTCCTGATATTTGGTGCTTTTTTTCAAGTTGTTTCTCATTGATTCTGCTGTCACCAGGTATGGCAATGTCGACGATCCACACTTTCTTCTTCTCCATAATCGTGATATCCAGGGTGTTGTGTTCCAAAACTTTTATCAGTCTGTATTCAGAAGTCCCACGGTAGTTTTGCACGCTCATTTTCAACCACTTTTTCAGGCTTATGATCCCACCAGTTCTTTGCTACAGGCAGATGGTAGTTATGACACAAATTCCAGTGGAGCATCTGAGCGATTGTGTTGTGACATTGTTTATAGTCAGTCTGAGCAATTGTCTTACAACAGCTCAGTATGTGATCGATGGTTTCATCCGCTTCTTTGCAGAGTCTGCATTAGGGGTCATCAGCAGATTTTTCTATTCTGGCTTTGATTGCATTTGTTCTGATGGCTTGTTCTTGGGCTGCAAGAACCAGGCCTTCTGTCTCTTTCTTCAGTGTTCCGTTGATCAACCATAACCAGGTCTTTTCCTTATCTACTTTCCCTTGGATCTTTTCAAGGAACTGTCCATGTAGTGCTTTGTTATACCAGCTGTCAGCCCGAGTTTGCATTGCTGTTTTCCTGTATTGATCCTTGGTTTGCTGCACTTTGAGCAGCTTCCTCTTGTTGACCTCCATCAAAGCTGGTTCAACACTGTCTTTCACATAATCTGCCAGAGCATGTTTCTCTTCTTCGGCTGTCTGTACTACTACTACTACTACTACTACTACTACTACTACTATTATTATTATTATTATTATTATTATTATTATTATTATTATTATTATTATTAAGGAATGTATATCGAGTTTTATCAGCTTAATTATAACACTTGCAGTTGCTGTGGTTATTGTTCTTTTTACTCCCTTCTTGCCTCTCCCATTCCTCCCTCTTTCCACCCATCCTTCCTTGTTCCATATCTGCATACAATATTCTTGGCTATTATGCAGAGAATGCTGCCTTGGGAAATGAACTAACTAGACAAAACTACTGTATAATTAAATGATGAGAACAAAGAAGAGATTTTTATCCTTTAAGAAACACAAAAGCAGATAAAATGTTGAAGTTACCAAAATATATTTGCTGCCAATGGAAGTGGAATTAATCTGATTTATTTGCTGGAAAAATGCCTGCAAGAAAAGGAGAGGAGAGGAAGCTAAGAAAATTATAATGAATGTTATAGCAAATGTTCATGAGATGTTATATTTATTATTAAAGTAGACTTTGGGAAATTGCAAATACCCTCTTACAAAAGAGATTTGGACTGAACAAACTGCTGGTAGAAACACCCTTGTGGCTAAGAGCAACAATTAGAAAATACCATATAGTTGGACCCAGTTCAGAAGCCTGGCACTATGTAAGGCAAAAAAGAATCAAGGGGAGGAAGCAGAAATCCTGGACACAGATGAGATTGTGACGAGGATCACGTTGAAAAGTAGGTGCTCCATTACTGGTCAATGCAATATATTGGTCAGGTTAAGAAAATATATGTGGAGGGACTATTAAATACTCTAGTCCAGTGATCCCCAACCTTTTTTATGCCGCGGCCCGGTACCGGCATCAGCTGGGCGCTGCGGCCCGGTACCGGCATCAGCTGGGCGCCGCCATCTTTTTTTGATGAAAAAGTGCTTCCGGTGAGCTTTCTACCCGGAAAAGCTCACCGGAAGCACTTTTTCATCAAAAAAAGATGGCAGCGCCTAGCAACCAGCGGCCCAGTAGGACTTGTTCCGGTCCACGGACCGGTGGTTGGGGACCCCTGCTCTAGTCCATCCTACTAGTTAATCTTATATCAAATACAACTCACTTGACTTAACCAGGTTTTTTAGCATCAGACCAAAGAGAAATCAATTATGAATAGTAACAGATTATGTAACAATGGTGAAATACATCTCATAATTTCTAGGCTGGCTTGGTTGCTCAACAGCGAGACACTGGTGAAGCGGGCATAGCAGAGGCTGCAATTTCTGCATCGCATGAGAAAAGTACATCTTCCTTCCCCTGTCCTTTCTATAGAGGGACGTTCTATAGAGGGACAATCGAGAGCATGCTGTCATGTGGAGCAAGTGGCCAGTTTTAAGTTTCTGTGTATTACCATAAAAGAGGACCTGATCTGGAGTGCTCACATTGCAGCCCTGGTCAAAAGGGTCCAGCAGATATTACACTGCCTGAGACTTCTCAGAAAACAACAACTGAATGAAAAACTGCTGGTGATCTTCTACCACTGCACCATAGAGAGTATCTTAACTTACTGCACTTGGTTTGCCAATTGCACAGTGGCAAATAGGAAAGCACTCCAGAGAATCATTGCCCAGAAGATCATTGGTTGCCCTCTCCCCTCTTTGAAGAGCTTTATAGCTCCCGCTGCCTTAAGAAAGGTCAAAACACTCTCAAAGATATACCTCTTCCTGGGCACGCTTTTTATGAATTATTACCATCTGGCAGATGGTACAGGATAATAAAAACAAGGGCAAATAGGCTGAAAAACAGCTTCTTTCCAAGGCAGAAACTCTTATCGAATTCTACTGTATAGTGCTATATTAATGCAATATCAGGGGTTTTCAATTCAATATATAGAATGTGAAAGGGGTGTGTTTGTGTTTATTTTCATAGTCATAATGTATTTAATGGTATTTAATTTCATTGTATGAGGTGCAATGACAATAAAGTAAAGTAAACTAGTGATACTGCATTACTTTCTGGTTTGGAAGCATCGCTGCTTCTGATAAGAAGGTGATGCAGAGAGTGGTGAGGAGAAAATTATTGGCAGTTCACTTCCATCTATCCAGAACATAGCATGTAAGAGATGCTTCACCAGGGTCCATAGTATTGTCTGGGAGACTACACATCCTCTCCATGATCTACTTTCCTTGTTACTTTCTGGGAGGAGGCTTCGTGATATCTATATATGTGTGTTATGTATATGAACACTTTTGAGAGCAGGCAACAGAACTTCATTTTTAATGTGTGCCAGTGTGTCCACAGTAAAAAATGATAATGAAGGTTATCCATCTATAATGTCATAACAGAAACCCAGCCTTTTGTACTTGCATTCTGACATTGCATGCAGGTAAATAAATCTTGTTCTGTATTGTACATTAGCATTCTTGTAAATAAACCGTTCTGATTGGCTAGGACGCGCGGCGACCCGATTGGTCGAGCGAGCCGCACTGATTGGCCCGCCGCGAATCCCCCGCGATTGGAAGAAACCGATCGCGGGAGATTCAAAGCGGTTCCATTGGCCGCGGCTTGGCCGGCAAGTTCTATAAAAGCCGCCGCCTGCCCTAGCCGCACCGAGTCGATCTCGGGACCCAATAAAGAGCTGAAACTGGTCACTGACTCCCGAGCATTCTTCTGCATGGCGAACTTAACAAATCTCATAGCTGGTATTGTGTTATTGCAACGTAAGTTTCATCATTTGCCCCCTTCCTGTGAACCACACAATTCTAACACTTAGCATTAGTATTCCAAGATTCCAAAACTGCAAATGTAGCACTGCTGCAGAGAAATAATATATTGGTAAAATTGCAGATTGAATTAGTGAGATATCTTTAATTTCAGCCTATAATGTCTTGGCTCAAGTTTAACACTTCAATACAGTTTTTAATCAAGGCTTAATTCCCTCCTCCCAAACTTGACTGTCTCAAAAGAAGACACTGGGCTAATTTGAAAAGAACAAGCTTTTGTGTTATCCGTGTTTCCCATGCTAAACATGCTTAGCACTAGAACATTTGATACTTCAATAGTTGTGGAGATCAAATATATTTACCAGGCTTCTCTCTTCTATCATCTTACAGGTCTTGTAGAAATTTGCCTGATGCATCCCCTCGATGTGGTGAAAACCAGGTAAGGTTCTGCTTGAACAAGTTTTATTGACATTGGAAGGCATCCAAATTGGAAGCTGTCAGAATTCAAAACGCTCAAACTTGTCCAACTAAGATAACTTCTCCCTTTAATGGCATTTATATTTACTTAATCTTTTTCATAGCGTTTGACAGGCAGAATTTAAGTGGAATGATGCATTTCTGCTTGGAGGTCATCTGGAGGTGCTAAATACCTCTTTATAAAATGTACTCTTCCTGTGACAGCCTGAGATCCTTTTTGTTTAAAAAAAAAAAACAGAGGAGTGATCCATAGAAAGGTGTTTGTATGTGTGTTCCTCTGTATTGTATATATCATCTGATACTGTTTTGACTTGAAGCTGGAAATGACATATTGCTTTAGAAATAAAATAATATTGATCAAAGATGTGGCCTGACACAGCCAGTCATGTTCTAAAAAGTATAAAAAGGATCATCCAAAAGTATTCTTTCAACTTGTGTTTGCATATGGCAATTGGGTAGTTTCATAGTAGCCACCTTCAGGCAAATTCAGAAATGTATGGATGGGAAGTACCACTTGTTCAAATGATTTTAAAAATACTAACATGTTTAGTGCATGTTTAGTGATTGTGGTTATCATAGTATCATCATCATCATCATCATCATCATCATCATCATCATCATCATCATCAAAATGCTTGTCATGGTAAATGTTTCTAAATTCTAGATTCTGTTTCCAAAAATCACATCCAGTCAGTATAAGAAACACTGCACCTGCCTCATTTTGGGAACACTGTTGTGGGTTTTTTCTGCCTTTTGCATTTCAAAATAAAAGTTAGACTATGTTAAGATTTTGATTTATTTACTTGTTAGACTTACATCATACTTTACTTCGCAAGCTCAAGGCAACATATATAGTGCTTAGTGTAGTTAGTGTAGCTCCTGTGACTGATGATAGACTTGAACCTGGACCTCCCTAGAGCTAGTCTAGTCCTTTAACTCCTATCCCACAGTGGCCATCAAAAATTCTGCATCCTGGATAAATTAGAAATATGGAGAAATGTAGCCCATTATATCTTTGCATGTTTGCATGGTTCTCTCTTTGCAGCAAGCTATAAGTTGTTTTAACATTTTATAGAAGCCACAGTGGTGCTGTGGTTAGAATGCAGCATTGCAAGCTAACTCTGTCACTGCCAGGAGTTTAATTCTGATCGGCGCAAGATTGACTCAGCCTTCAATCCTTCTGAGGTCGGTAAAATGAAGACCCAAATTGTTGGGGGCAAAATGTTGACTCTAAACCACTTAGACAGTGCTGTAAGCACTATGAAGCAGTATATGTCTAAGTGTTATTGCTATATATTTAAAAAAGAATATTAGCTTGGTTCAATTTTGTGCTAAGTCCAAAGTAAACAATGCACATCATGATTGGTTATTTATTTATTTGATTTCTATAGCCATCCATATCAGCAAGTGACTGCTACATTACATTTATAAAATTAAAACAGTACAAAATAAATATATATGGCACATCTCTGCATGTAATTCAGACAGTCACTTCCCTGTGACTGTGTCTAGAACTATTTGTGCAGTTGAGATTAAGTGTCATGAAGTTTCCTGAAGAAAAAAGTACAGGAAATTTCCATGCGCTTTATCTTAAACCAAACAAATGAAGCATTTGTGAGGATTGATATAAATGCAATCAATAACTAAAGAAAAAAATAAGTAACTTTCCAACAGATCTCTCTTATCCATAATTAGGAATTTATATTTGCCATATAGAATTCCCAATTTAATTATCTGTTACTTTGTGCAATGCATCTGAAAATTGCATCACTGACATTTAATTTGACCCATTTGTTGAGCAAAGGCAGAGTCAACTATAATTAAGAAAATCTGTTTACAGGGAAAGGAGGTCCAAGATTTGTAGAAGAGATGAGAGGACTGACATAGGAGCATTGTTGTCAACAAGTATGAAGGAAACAAGTGTAGCATATATTTGACAACAGTGTTTGTCAGCCGAGTTGATTTTCTTTTCCTCAGAAGAATGTGTAGATGGGTGCAGAGTTAGCTATCTTGATGATTTTTCAAAATATTGTGATACATTCAAAGATCTGTGCTAAATACAAAATTAGAAATTTCTCCTTCATCGAAGAATACATTTATTGTTCTGAAAGCGTTTTATTTAGTAATATGTAAGAGCGTACATTTAAAAGTATGAATTTTTAAAACATATTTACCCATGAGTAGATTTTAACATGCAGATTAATGAAGAAAAGCAGTGGGGAAAAAACACAATACTGTTCTGTCCATCCTTGTTTGGGAATGTTCTATTTTAATCAGTTTACAGTTCTGAGTATTCCTGGAATTATGACCTGGAAATGGAAAATATGGCAGCAATCAGAAAATTTCCCCAGTTCTACCATCTATTCCTGCATATGTGGAAGAGGAGTGTTAGGAAGACAGGATCCAAGATTTCCAAATCTTCAATTAGATATGCCAATGTTTGGGCCATAGCTTAGTGTGTTTTATACCAAATAGTTCTATTGTTACAGTCAAGAATGAAGCCTTTCCCAAAATTGATGTCAGAATTTTTTTCAGTGTTCCAATTTTTTAAACTTTAGACTTCATTCTGCTGCTTTGAATTAATGGCTACTTGGCACAGTGCTTGGTGGCCTTGAACTGATGTAGTTTTGACTTGCCTTCTTAATAGCTATCACCGATTCCCACCAGGCACCTTTTATCTTTACATGCATTAAAGATATGGGCTTTGCTCTTTTTAAATATTAGAGCCTTGATACATTCAGTTCTCCAATCTGAATTAGAAATAAGAAATACCGTGTTTCTCATATAATAAGGCTGGGTCTTATTTTTTTTTTGAGCCCCGAAAAAATGGCTAGGCCGTCTTTTCGGGGGTGACTTAATTCCCCCCCCCCTTGCATCTTCGGGCAGGCGGGCGGCGACGGTTTGGATGTTGACCTTGGCGTTGGTGGGGCACTTTGTATCAGGGTCAACGCAGGCAGCACCATATCCGGGTGTGCAACAAAAGTACTTCCTAACAGCAAGCCCCCCCGCCATTTCCCCCCCATTTCGCATGTTTTAATATAGGCCTTAATTTGGGGGGAGGGGCTTAATTTCATTTCATGCCTATAAAACATGCTGGGACTTCCTATTGGGGGAGGCCGTATTGTTGGAGAAACAGGGTAGATGTTTCCAGGAAGAATTTCACATGATTTTGTTATCTGAGTAGCTTGACTCATACAGCAGATGAGACATGTTTTGAGCTGAAAGATGTCATAAGTATTAAAAATTACAGAGTATGAAAAGATATGATTATTGAGTAACGTCAGCCGGAAGGTATAGTATCTTTCTCAATATACTCCAATCACATCACAGAGATGCAGCAAACATTCCTGAATTTAGGAGAAATGTTGATGTCTCACATTAGATCACACACCTTGCTATTATCTATTGGTTCAAACAACATTTTAAGTCAAACATTTCTTTGATTTATGAAACGCAAGCATGAAATTCCATGGTAAGGGCCATTTCTAGTGAAAAATTAATTTCACATTTCTCTATTAGCTATTCTTTTCCAATTAATGTTTGTGACTAATTGTTAGGGTTTTGGGAATTAACCCCTAGCAGAGTATTGCAGCAGTAG